AGAGCCTACATGGGTTCCATCCTACGGCCCTGAAATCATGACCTGAGTTGAAACCAAGAGTTGTCCATGCATGGAGGACATTAGGAGAAGAAACGGAAAAATGAATGGGGAGAAATCAGAGGGGGAGACGAACCATGAGAGACTATGGACTCTGAGAAACAAACTCAGGGTTCTAGAGGGGAGGGGGATGGGGGGATGGGTTAGCCTGGTGATGGGTATTAAGGAGGGCATGTATTGCGTGGAGCGCTGGGTGTTATACGCAAACAATGAATCATGGAACACTACATCAAAAACTAATGATGTAATGTATGGTGACTAACATAACATAATAAAATTTAAAAAAATATATTCAAAAAAAAAAAAAAGAAACCAAGAGTCGGATGCTCAACCCACTGAGCCACCCAGATGCCACTATGCTTAATGATTTTTAAAAGGCATGTTGGTGTGAATAATGAGCAAGGGCTCTAAGACTGTTTTTGCAGACTTCTGAGCCCAAAATCAGCGAGGATAATGAGACTGGTTACATTGTAAATGTGGAAGGCAAAAAGCTAAGCCTGTGCTATCAAGCTCTTGCTAACTATGTGTGTGTGTAAGTGCGTCTGCGTGAATGAATGTGTATTTGAGTGTGCACGGGTGTATGAACGTGTGTGTGTGTGTGTGTGTGTGTATCTGACTGTGAGCATGTGGGAGTGTTTGTGCATATGTAAGTGTCTCACCCACTGGGCTAGGAGGGTGATTGGGCACACGGCCTATGTGCACTCACGAGGCAGCATATATGACAACAGTGTCAGTGCAGATTATAATGGGGTTCTCTAGTTTGTGTTCCAAGTAGCATTTTACAAAGCTTGGCTCATATATTAAGCTGGCCATCCATAAACTGTAATTTTCAAAGCTCTTAAAAAATGTGATAATAAGGGTTATTGGTGGAAACTGTTTAAGACCCTAATTTCAGAAGTTTATCTACTATACAAGCTCATTACACTCAGACAGAGGAATGGGGTGCTCTTTATTGTTATCAGACCTTAAATGGTCAGTGACAGTTCAGGGATCCTGTGCATATTGGCACCATGTCTTTCATGTCAGTGGTAAAATGTCATACCTATAAGTCAGCAACTGCAAAATAGACTCAGAAGATGAGGGTCGGGGTCTCACAGTCTCCTTTTGGCTGGACAAATTAGGTGAAGTCCCACTGGATATGCTCAAAGGCCAGAGAGAGTCTTTGGCTGTGTTTTTTCAACTATTATATCCTTAGGGTAGTATTGATGAGATCCAGAGGACTTAGAAATAAGACATATGGTGAAAAGATGCAAATTAAGAAGTTATCTAAAATACACTGGTCACCTCGCTTTGTACTGGGCACGAAATCCCACCTTTATATACATCATCTGGTTTAATACTTAGTCTCCCTAGGAAGGAGCAAACTGAGCCCCCCAAGAAATTACATCGTTGGCTCAAATAGATGCAGCTGGGAAGGGTCAGCGCTGGAAGGCAGATCCAGTTCTCTGTGACTCCCCAGTAGTGCTCTTTTCTGCCCTGCTGCCTCGTTCTGTCCTGCTCTCCGCCCATGCTGGACAGATAGAGCATTCTCCATGAGAGCTCCAGCAATTCGGGGAGGTAATGGATGACTTTATGAAGGACATTTATTTTGCACTGAAAGCCTCTGCCTTTAGACAGCATTTGGAGACCAATGATGGGACCATGGCACTTTTAAAAGGAGGACTCACTGCCCTAAGACTGAGGGGGCAGCGCCCTTGTGGCTCCTTTCTGAGGCCTACTCCTCCATTCCTAAACCGTGAGTACTCAGTAAGGGCTTACCAGGGCTTCTTCCAAATTGTCTGAAACCCTTTGATCTACTTTTCTATCATTTCTTCTTGACAAATAATATTCATCGTAGGTTCAAGGCCCATCTCCTCCAGGAAAGAGGTCCTGGCTAAGCCCTCTGAGCTTGGTTTGCTTCCCCTTTTATCATTTCCAGTATATTATCACGTACTTGATGTGCCCACTGATTGTGCATGGCAGGCCCAGCATTAGTTGATTTCATCTCCACGATACTCGTGCATTCCTTCATCACGTATTCATTAAGCGTCTACTATGTTTCAAGAACTGTCTTATGCTACAGGGATATATAGCTGGCAATGACAGGTTTGTTCTCATGGAGTTTATAAGAGAGATAGAGTTTCACCGAATAATTCCAGAAATACATAAATACAAGTTGAGGTGAGTGCTTTAAAGGAAAGAAATATGGTGTCATGAAAGAAGATAACAGAGGAATTGCACCCAGATTGGGGGTATCAGGAAAGGGTGCACAGAGGAAGTGAACTCTGAGTTGAGATCTGTGGAGGTCAGTAGAAAGGTCTGGATTGTTAGCTGTTGGCAGAAAAGCTTTCCCTGTTCCTGAGCAGATGCATAATGGATGCTTGGTGAAGCAATGATTCAGCTGCTCTGAGTTACAGCTATTGGTTCTGCCAGTTGGGTCTTCTTTGCCCTCAAGCTTACACTCCAAACATTCCCTGTGCTCTCACCGCATGTGTCCTCTGCCCTGAGGAAAATACCGCCTGCTCCCCTGGGTGAGAATGTAGGTGGATAAGAATGATATTTTGTTAAAAGGAATTTTTTTCTACCTTACAGTATAAGGATAAAAGGATAATTCACAAAGTGCCAGTTCATTCAAGGAATTATACCAAATCCCCAAAGCATTGTATTACACGTTCTAAATCAGGTGCCTGGCTTTTTAAATTGGGAACATACAATCTCTTGGCAAAAAAAAAAAAAAAAAAAGAAGAAGAAGAAGAAAAAAGGAAAAAGTATGATTTATCATTCCAATCTTGCAGTCTGTGTAACACAGGCATTTCACTCCTGGGAATGAATAGTCCTGTTTGCCTCAGAGCAGACTGTAAACATTTGATTCGTGACCAGACAACTTGACCTTTAATGACCTGCAACTGTCTAAAGTAAGCACAAAAATTTATGACCACCACCAGGCAGCTAGACGTCATTCCTCAGTACCCTAATAACATCCTGTATTTCTCTGGAATTGTTCCTTTCATATGCTGACTTCAGAATAACTTTCTGGTATAAAATGGTGGGACTGACACACTGGGAAGTTGTTCCAGTTTAAATTCTAGCTATCCAAATGACAGTCTCAGGAAGGACATGACAAACCATATTCACTGCAATGTGAACAGGTATCACCCTTGTCTTCATCAGCGGAGAGCTGATTGTGGACAGTCAGCTGAAGGCAAGGCAGCCCCCAACAATGACTCCCAGGCAGGCTCCAACCCCTAGGGCCGGTTCTAGCTCTGATAGAACAGAGCTTCCCTAGGTAAACGCTGTCACCTCCTCCTGCAGTGATGTCAGACTGTTCGGGTCTGTTTATAGCTCCAGCCAGTAGGTTCAGCATGGCGATTCTTACTCAGTGATGGAGAAAACTCAGATTATAAGAGCCTACTTGTCTGAACAAATCCCAGACGCCAGGACTCAGGCCCTAAACTCTGCTCTGGAAAGGCCCAAGAATCACTTGGAAGAAGATGACAAATGAATACTGAAACCAAGCTGACCTTGGGTACAAGCCAGACTCCGTCAGGATACACACATCGGCTATGAAGTCTTGCTGAATGAGGGGCAGCCACGCTGCTGGGCTTGACCTCATGGCACATGGAACCTGGGAAAGGGGGGCTAGTTGGAGACATTTTGGTAGCTCTTTCCTTTTATGGGGCTTTGGGTAAAGTGAAAGAGGAGAGGCAGATTTCACTGAAGTGGGAAACCACATTCAGGCAAGCGGGAGAGGGACCATGCCTGGGAAATGGCACAGTCTGAGGAGGAGAAGCCCAAAGAGCTTCAGGGTTGAGAGAAAACACCTTCCAGAAGCCATGTGAAGGCAGTGATTGGCAACTGGTAACTTGGCCTCCATGATATTCAGACAAGTGGAGTCTACCTCAAAATGGAGGCTATATCCCTAATGCTCTGGCCTTTCAATAGTTTTCAGCGCTACTTTAGCTCTCTGTTCTCTTCAGAAGAGGAAAGAACCTACCTCTGAGGGAACATCTAACTAGAAAAGTAGCCCCTTCTTTCCTGCTCCAGGGCTAAAAAACACCAAACCCTCATGTTTTGGGGTCATGCATGGAGGAAAGGAATAAAGCATTTTCTCTGAGATAGGCCAGTGAACACCACATTATAAAAATTGTAATAACTATCAGTTACTGAGTGTTTATGATGACGAGGAACTGTGCTATATGCTTAATGACCATTACTCATTTCATCCTCAAAAATACCTCAGGGTGAAGAGGTCATTGTTATTATTTTATAAGTAAGGAAATCAGAGCAATGAAGTGTTTACACATTGCTTAAGGTCACACAAGTAGCATGTGAACTCAGTGCTGACTCCAGCTTCACTATCCCTGAAACAGGAACAACCTAAACTGTGTTTGGATTGCTCAAGGGTCCCAAAGCTCACCTTATCCTCCCCTGTGTTTCAGGTACCATGAAGTGGGATGGATCCTGAAACAAAAGCACAGCTCAGGGCGGGCAGCAGTGGGGAGCTGCCAGGATAAACAAACGGTTTTAGTTTGATCCTTTAATCCGTGTCAATTTGGCCATTAAAGACAATTGATTTTGATTCCCTGTTAGACCCCACAGGATGCCAAGTGCATTCGACGCTCAAGCTTCGCAAACACCCATTGGCGGTTCTGCTGATGATGCACTAAGTGTGCTCCTTAAAGTGGGGTCCCTGATCAGCAGCATCAGAACCTCCTGCTAACCACTTAGAAATGCAAATTCTCAAGCCTAACCCCCCAGACCTGCAGAATCAGAAACTGCAGGGATAGGGCTCAGTAATCTGCCTGCTCACCAGCCTGGCAGGTCACTGGATGCTCACTCACGTGTGAGAATCACTGCTCCATAGCATTAAGGAGGTAGCACTAATTGAATTCTTTTTTTCACATGGAAAACACTGGCTTTAAATTGTCTTTCTTTCTTTTTTCTTAAAAAAAATTTTTTTTTACCTCATTTCCAAATCTTCATTCTCCTGTGGTACAAATTTGTACAAGGCAACATAGGTGTTCATCTGTAATGGTTCTTTGGAAAGAGATCCCTGGAAGAGAAAATAAAAGACAAATGAGAGAATGAAGGAGGAAAACAGAAAATGAATTAAGTGAATGCAATATAATTCTAGGGTACGGATCATGAGTGTTAAAATATCTAACTATTATTCGAGGCTTTGTTTCAACCGTAGGTTTATCTTCAATTTCTTAGCTAAGTTTGATTTCATTAGAAACCACAACCAATTATGTAGAAATCTGTCAGAAATAACTACGAATTCTTCAAATAAATTTTTTCTTTGCTACTGTTGTTCATGAAAGGTGACAGGCTTAGCCCCAAGAATGGGAATATTCGCGCTATAGAAATAGGGACATGTGAATAGTAAACAACTTCCACTTCCTAAAATTGACTTTTTATCAGTTAGCCTAAAATTTGGTATCTAGCCTATCAAAGGGACTCTGGTATAGTCAGGGGCAATTAGTTCAAGCATGTTGTGAAAAAAGCATAGTTTTTGACATCAGACCGATTTAGTTTCTATCAAAGAAGCACCATCTCCTGACCATGAAACCTTGCAATAATGGTAATAAAAGCTACCATTTTTGATAGCTTACTGTGTGTGCCAGGCATTATGTTACACGCATTAGCACACCTGAACCTCACAACAGCCCCCCATTGCTGTCCTCAATTTATAGGTTATCCAAGAGTCTTATAAGTGTTATATAAATATTACCCATTATTATTATCCAAATATATGTCAATGCTATATAAATGTTTTCACTTTGTAATATATAATAAACACAAATTATATAATATACAAAATGTATAATATTACTATTTTATAATACACAATATAACATAAGCAATATATACACATATCACTATTTAACACGTTATATATGTGTATGTAAAATTATATATACAACGTATAATTGTATAATATATTTAAATACATAATAATATGATAAACATATACTATGTAAGACATAAAGAAAAGTTGTGAACAACTATGACTCACTCTGTTATCCAAAGCTCAAGTACCTTATGTTATATACTTCTGTCCCAGTCTATCTTGTTCTAATTATATAGATAGGTATTTATAATTATATAATATTATATATAAATGAGCATAAAATGTAATAAATATATACTTACATACTATAACATATGGTCATAATAGATTATGTAATTATGTAATTTACACACCTTACATTATATATCAATTTGTATATAACATATACAATGGTAACAAAAAGTATACAACACAATACTTATCCTTCTTACCTTTGATGCACTGTGATAGTTCTGTTTAGCGACATCTATCGGTTTTATGCTATCTATGCTATGGCACGTTATGCTACATTATTCTTTTCTGTTCTGTTCTACACTCTATTCTGTTCTAACACCTACTAACTTGATTTCACAACCCACTTAGGTAGTGAACTGCAGTGTGATCTAAGGACCTTGCCTGGTCTGTCTTCTGCGATATCTGTGAAAATTAATAGAGGGAATTCTCACTAAAATGGAGTCAGGAGGTTGGGCAGGGGGAGCTCTTACGCCCTATTACTCGTAGTAGTCAGTTTAGACCTTGCTCTGGACACTACGTTAGCTACTACTTTACTATCCCAGCAGGAGGAGGGAAGGAAAACGGCTCAGCCAATGAAAGACAGACTCAGCTCAGCCAATGAAAATCCACTATATTTAGCGTGCCTAGTTTCCTCCAATGGACTTTTTGTTTATAATAGTCTCCCCAATTATTCCCCTCTTCTCTATAAAACAGCTTTTCCCTTCTTTGCTTGGTGGGATTGCCTATGGTTTTGCCTTAGCTTACTTGTCTGGCATTGACATTTTCTGCTGTTTCTGAATAAACCTGTATTTTGCTGGTAAAACAATTTTTTAAGGTTAACACAGCGATAAATACCTGGTGGTTTATGTTCTTTGCTTGGTGTCTGAAATCGTCAGTGCCATTTTCTGGATAAGTAAAAACTGAAGGAGACAAGAAAAAGCAGGTGCTTTATGAATCCAGTCACCATGTTTTGGAATCATGCCTGGAAGATGTGGCTTTATGTATTCCCTGTTCCCTAGCTTCTACTTTCCTCCTCACTGCCTTTTCCTCATCTTAGTGACACAGCTTTCATGTCATCTTCCACGTGAGGCTTCCCCTGCGCCCCCAGGTGGCATTCCGCACCACCTCCTCTGCATGCCCACACCCATGTCCATGCCTCCAGCGAGCATGCATCCTCCTGAATACTTGGCAATTGTGTTCACAACTTGGCCTTATTTGGCCGCGCATTTCCTTCATCTTTGAAACAATGTTATTCATCTGTTGAATGTATCAAATCATTTGTTAATGGAACAGTGAGTGAGGGATGGCCAAATTGTATTTGAATGACCTTTTCTAAATACCAGATTCTTTTATCTATTTTCAATATCTTGATTCCAGTTTCTTGATATCTATATTCTATTTTGCACATTAAATTTATTTACTTATGCATATTTATTTATTTGAGAGGGGAGCGGAAAGGGCAGAGGAAGAGGGAAAGAGAATCTCAAGCAGACTCCCCACTGAGTGCTGAATGCAGAGCCCCATGTGGGGCTTGATCTCACCACCCTGATATCATGACCTATGTCCAAATGGAATGGACTGAGTCACCCAGACTGAGTCACCCAGACACCCCTAAAGCTTTAGTTTTAAACTTCAAAATATTTCCTGGATCACTTATTGTCAATGCATTGGGACTATTATTCACAATAGAAAACAAGTAGTGGTTTCTCATTTAGTTTGTTTTGAAATATGTAATTCTTTTCCTTTTGCATTTAAGCAGCCACTCTGTGGTCTTTAATAAAGAACAAAGCTTCCCCAAATGGGCAGGAGTTTTCACTGTCCACATGCACAGCTGGCGGAGATCCCTGATGGGTATTGGGGGGCTCTGCCTTAGCTAGTTCAGTCAGCCACATTCACCCCAGTGACCAACGTGACAGCCTTATTCCCCCCTGCATGTATCTGCCTCAAACAAAAATGTGGCAAGTGTTTCCAAGTGTGTACAATAGAGTTTTGGTGTCTAACCTACCAGCTAGATGACCTGACATTTAAAAAGAACACATTGCTGCTTTCTTCTTCCCTTTGGTCTCCTTTCAGATTATAAGGAAATATCAGTAAAGGAGGAGACACACACCACAGAAAACTCTATAACCTATTTTAGTTACTGCATTGACATCTCCACTGTCCTTAAAATGAACTCAATAACTGTGATGCAGAAAACATGCTTCAGAACAAGAGCCTCTGTAAACGTACTGATGCTCAGTAAACATCTATTCTCCACAGTTTATAGTTCCAGAGCCTGTGCATGAAATTCCATGATTCCTTGGAAGCCTAGGCATAAATATGCAGTCATTGGACGAACTCTGGTTTGTAGGTAAGTGGAAAATGATCCTATGGGCCTTGTCTGCCTCAATATCCAGCTACTCACCTTACTAATTTGAACTGAGTGGAGGCCAATGATACTCTTCTTTGGGATTATGTGATTCCCTAAGAGCTTGGTGTAAATATTTGATCCCATAAGTATATAAAACTGGATACTTCTAAAAGAATATTGAATATCTGCAGGAAAAACGTAGAGACTGTTCCTAGAAAATTCTTGATTGGACTTAAAAAGGGAGGCTACATATCAGTTTGAACTGATTTTACAATTTTGCAATTTCACACTTTAAGCTTTTTATTGAATATCCATTAGCCATCTGGTTCAAAATATGTACCAGTTTTGTGAACTATGCCGAAAATTATTTGAAGTGACTCCAAATGTATTTTTAACTATATGACTGAAAGCAGACCACTGCAAAAAAAAAAAAGATTTAAAAACCCATTCCTATGGGCTATTTCTAAGACTTTGATTTGAGGGAAAAAGAATAAAGAAAGGTAACTATTTTACTACAAATATATACTTTTTCTGCTTGGTGCTTTAAATTTGTTTTATTAAAAATTATTAGGTTGCTGATTTCACCCAGGACAAGTACTCAGAGAATATATCCATTATGCAGACATATTTTCTAATGTTACGGAAGCAAATGAATCTTTAGTTTCTGCCACATCCCCAAAGGACTTTCTTCTTTTCCTTTTTCATATTCTTTTTCACTTTGTAGTGCTGTGAAGACCATGTCCATCACTTCGTTTTCTAATGAGATGGTTATCTGGTTTTTCTTCTTCAAGCTGGTAATGTACAAGTTATGTTACTTGCTTATCTAATACAAACACATATGTGCATCCCTGGAATAAATCTAACTCGGTTAATTCTGCATTACTTTTAAAAAATAATTATCGGGGGCACCTGGGTGGCTCAGTAGGTTAGGTGTCTGCTTTTGGCTCAGGTCATGATCCCAGAGTTCCAGGATCGAGCCCCACGTTGGGCTCCCCCCTCAACGTGGCATCTGCTTCTCCCTGTGCCCCTCCCCCAGCTAATGCTCTCTCTCTCTCAAATAAATAAAATCTTTAAAAAAATTATTGGATTCAGTTTACTAAGATTCTGTTTCAGATTTCTGCATCCATATTCAGGATGGAGACTAGCCAGTGATTTTCCTTTCTCAAGCTGCCTTCAATTGGTTTTGAGGTCACAGACTAGCCTGATAAACTAAGTTAAAGAATATAGCAGCCGTTCTTCCCTGCAACTTTTTCATTTTCCTGAAAGAGCTTACGTAATCTGGAAATTTTCCATTCCTTAAATATTTGGTTGAGTTTACTTTTAAAGTTGTCTGGGCCTGGTATTTTCGCTGTGCAAAATTTAAAATATTGACTCATTTTCTATTATGACTAGAAGCAAATTTAAGTTCTCAGATCTTCTATTTCTTCCTGAGTCAGATTTTGGTCATTGATCTTTTTCTTGGTATGTGTCCATTCAGAAAGGTTTTAAAATTTATTGGCATGAAATTGGTCATGGGATTCTTTTATTTTCCTTTCAATCTCTGTCATAGTCATCCCTTTTCATTATTGCCTTTCGCTTCATCTCTTTTATTCTTAAAAACATTGTTAGTGATTGTAGGGATGCCCGGGTGGCTCAGTTCCTTAAGCAACCCGACTCTTGAATTCAGCCCAGGTCATGATCTCAGGGTCATGAGACTGAGCCCCTTGTTGGGTTCTGTGCTGGGTGTGGAGTCTGCTTAAGATTCTCTCTCTCTCCCGGGGTGCCTGGGTGGCTCAGTCATTAAGCATCTGCTTTTGGTTCAGGTCATGATCCCGGGGTCCTGGGATCAAACCCGCATCAGGCTCCCTGTTCAGGGGGAAGCTTGCTTCTCCCACTCTCACTCCCCCTGCTTGTGTTCCCTCTCTTGCTGTGTTTCTCTCTGTCAAATAAATAAATAAAATCTTAAAAAAAAAACTTAAAAAAAAAAGATTCTCTCTCTTCTAGCTCGTGCTCTCTCAAAAAAAAAATTCTTAGTGATTTTGAGTTTTATTTCTTTTTTTTAAAGATTATTTATGAAAGAGAGAGAACACTCATGTGAGCGGGGGAGGGCAGAGGGTGAGGGAGTCTTCAAGCAGACTCTGCACTGAGTGTGGAGCCTGACGTGGGGCTTGATCTCAGGACTCTGAGATCATGACCTTTTTATTGCCTTCCTACTGCTTTTTGGGGGCTTATTCTATTTGTCTTTTTTGACTTCTCAAATATGATGCTTAGGTTATTACTTTTCAGGCTTTTTATTTTTTAATAGAATACTTTTATTTTTTAAAGATTTTATTTGTTTATTTGAAAGAGAGTGAGCACATGAGCAGGGGAAGGGGCAGAGGGAGAGGGAGAAGCAGACTCCTGGCTCAGTGGGAAGCCTGAGGCGGGGCTTGATCCCAGGACCCCAAGATCATGACCTGAGCCAAAGTCAGATGCTCAACTGACTGAGCCACCCAGGTGCCCATAGAATACTTTTAAAGCAAAATATTCTAGTCTCAATTTAGCTACATCCCACAAATTTTGATCTGTAGTGTTTTCATTATGACTTAAGTATATTCCAATTTTCATTATAAATTCTTTTTTGACACATGAACTTTTTGAATGTATGTTTTAATTTTCGAAATGATGGGTTCTCCTATATCTTTTGGTGATTGGTTTTTATCTTATTTGCATTATAGTTAGAAAGGTGTGTTCTCTATAATATTAATTCTGTGGAAATTTATGAAGCTTTTTTTATGGTCTAGCAGGTGATCAATTTTTATAATTGTTCCGTGTCCTTAAAAAGAATGTGAATTCTCCATTTGTTAGATGGAGTGCCCTTTTTAAGTCAATTAGACTAGGATTGTCAAATGTGTCCTCAGATTCTCTAAATACTGAATCTTTTTATACATCTGCTTTGCCAATGACTTGAGAGGCATGTTAAAACCTCTCACTGTGAAGAGGAATGTCAATTTCCCTAATGCCTCTATTAATTGCTCCTTGAGTTCCTGTCACTTTGGGGCTATATAAGTAGACACGAGTTTAGAATTTATATCTTCTAATGAAGTGGACATGATCATATAATGATGCTTTTTTTCCCCCTAGTAATGCTTTTCTGATTTTAATGCCCATTTTTTATACATTAATACAGCTATACAATCTATCTTTTGCCTTTTAAAATATATGTATTTTTTTTACTTTTAAACTTTTTATATCCTCATGTTTTAGACTGTTATAAATAGTCATTTAAACAATCCAGTGTGTAAAGCTCTTTTATCTAGGGCTTAGTTAATTTACATTAATTTTGATTACTGATAAATTCAGATTCTCTTCTAGCATTTTATTTTGTATTTTCTATTTGTCTCAAATTTTCTATGCTTTTTCTTCTACTTCTGTGCCCTCTCCCCTTTCTTCTTTTTAGGTTATATGGCTAAAGCTATTTTTTTAATCTTCTAGTGGTTAGTATAAAAATTTTATGAGGTATATTTAACTTAACAAAATCTAAAGTGAAAGAATATCTTTAATTTCCTTCTAGTTAATATGAAAATCTTTGAATGCCCATTTCTTACTTAA